AGAATGAAGTCATTGGAAGCAGACTAGAGAAAATAATGCAATTAATCCATTGCTCTGTACTCTTGCCATATTCAAAGGCATTTGAAATATGGCAGATAGGAGGAATTTTCATGAAATAAGCAAGCATCATTTACTAAATAAATGAGCCATGCTCCAGAGAGCTGTGCTCGTACTCAAAATATTTATATTGTCGGTATTTTATTTTGAAATAGTAGTGTTTCTGGAAGCATTACAGTGGAATTACCTAAGGTGGTTGTTAAAGATGCACATTCCAAGGTATCTCCAGCCCTTCCGAAGGCCGGAATCCTGCTTTTCTCTTTACATACTGCCCAAGGGATTCTCAAGGACACAAACATTTAAGATTGAGTACAATATGGAACAACTCCCAAGATAAGTCAATTTGAGTTACAAGGATTTTACTCAACATGGAGTTTCATGTAATAAATTGCCTTGGTTTATGAGGCATTTCTTCTTGTTTATGAGAGCAAGGTTAGATTTTGCACCCCACATGAGCTGCTGAGTGCCACAGAATGATAGCCATCATGAGATCATCTGCAGCTGGTGCATAATCTCATCCTAGAGGCCCCAAGGTACATAAGGGCAACCAGCTCATCAGAAGCTCCATTGCATCCAGCGACTTCTTTTTTCTTGTTTTCATTTTGCTATAAAATTGCAATTTCCTAAACACGGAGCATCCCTTCCAAGGTTTGTAAGCAATATTCTTTAACATAATAACTGTGAAAGAGCACAGGTAACAGCTTGTTTTGCTACTCTGTGATAATTAGTGTTCACCATTGTTTAACTACTTGATTTTCTTTTGGCATAAAGGGTATTGATTTGGAGTTCGAGAAAACATTAAGATGTTGTTAATTATGTTTTCAATGTCTGAAATTCTGATTGATGGGAATTTTTCCAGAAACAAATAATCCTTCTAAGGTAAGGACAAGACTCATTTCACAAGTTATTTCAACCCTTTTCTTACATTTTGGAAGCAGTTAATTTAACTATTTCACTTTGTTTTCACATGAAAATGTGACACAAGCCTCAAGAGTTCCAGGAAAACAATTTCATCCCTAACAATACTGTGAACTGAGGTAAGCCATATAGTTTAGTTATACACCCAAATTATGAAGAGCAGGATGGAATCTCGTACAGATGAGAGAGGTAGGCAAACTGAGGGGAAGCAATCTGCCTCCTAAGAATAGCAATTGATCAAGAAAACTTACTATGCATCAAGAAAGCTAAGGTCTATTCATATGTTTCTCATCTGATACATTAACCTAATGAGATCCGTATTATTTCCACTTACACATGAGGAAATGGAGGCACAGACTAGTAAATTACCTAAGGTTACACAGTTGGCGAATAACAGAGCTCATGAGTTTTAAATTCAGCTTTGAGAAAATACATCTTTTTTATTGCAGGGTCTTTAGTGTTTCTCTGCTAACATCCTCAAAATCCTGTCTGGTCAACCTATATCAAAAATCAAGAACTCACTGACTAAATCATAGTCATGATAAATGCAACGATATAAATGATCATGTTTGATATACTGGCTTCGGGAAAATATTTTGCATGTTTTTCCTGAGGTGGTCAACTTAGAATTGACAAGGATATGTCAATAAGAAGCTGCTGAAATGTATCCGGTCTGAGAAAAAAAATACCCATTTACTTCTGAAGTAGAACATGATGCTACCTGCATGTTCTCACTTATAAGTGGGGGCTGAACAATCAGAACACATGGACACAGGGAGGAAATTAATACACACTGGGACCTGTGAGTGGGCCAGGGGAAGGGAGAAAGTATCAGGATAAATAGCTAATTCATGTGGGGCTTAATACGTAGGTGATGGATTGATTGATAAGTATAGCAAACCATTTATGTTACATGGCACACATTTATCTATGTAACAAACCTGCACACCCTGCATCTGTATTCTGGAACTTAAATTAAATTTAAAAGAAAATGGTGCTACAACAGTTTCTTTGCTCATTCAACCAATGTTTCCAACAAACCTACAAAGTGCCAGGCACTGAAAAAGGCATCAGGAATATAAATAAGAACAAAATGCTATTAATCCATTTGGATTAGAAGTAAATAAACAATAATAATTTCCCCAAAAGGATAGCTGAAAACAGGGAGGCTTTAACAGAATAGAGAAAATTGTTTTCCGGTTTAGAAAGGGTCAAGTCTCTGTAATTGATGTCCCTGCTGTCTTCATGAAGACAAATGGACTGTCATTTTCTGGAATGTTCCATTAGAAACACAGAGGTGGAAGAAACCCCACTCAGAGGAAGGCTTGCACTTGAGCCTCACAAACCCTGCATCTTTGACTGTTCCCAACAGGCGCCTTGCAAGGTAGATGGTGAAGCAGATGCAGAAGGATCTACTTCAGTTTATACCCAAGAGAAAGAAAAGGTTCATGCATGCCCAAGCCTTTCTCCCTTTGTCTGCTTACAGAGAAAGAGAAGTTTTTCATCATAGCACACTGTGTTTATGGGGCTGAAAGAAAGGGTCTAGACCATCTAGCACACCATGAAACACGAGGCAGAAACTCTTTCAGGGCACTGTAATTCCAGCTACTGTAGCTTAGCTAAACCTTAGCAACGGACTGGAGAGTGAAACTGAAATTCCGGAAAGGCCAGGGGATGGGAGAGCCTGCCGAGGTGTTCTCTGGCCCTCTCCTTCCACTCCAATGCAGACTTCACACTGCCCTCAGCACCGAGGTGCACTCCACCTCCACTCAGAGTTCTCTGAGACTCAGACATCCTAGGAAGAGCAGGCAATGCCTAGCAGGATCTCGCCTGCCTGCTTTTCCTGACCTAATTCTCTCACCACCATCTTCCTCTCCCTCAGTACCACACATACCCTGGTTTCAGCCAGATGAAACATTTACTATTTACCCCCTAGAGCGCTCCTCTTGATCACAGTTTAAGACCCAGAGGAAAAGCTTTTTAATTAGTTTTCATAGATCCTTCCAAGTCCACTGGACTCCTGAGCAGAAGACTTCCTCTTAGGTGTTCCCATAACACCTCTACTATGTTCAAACCTTTTCCCATGTGAGATCATCACAGATAACAGCGTTCATGGCCAAAGTATAAGTCCTTAAACAGAGGAACTATTATTTTTCACTTCCACATCCCAGCAACTCAGCACAGCTCATGGCACATAGTAAGCCTCAGAAAATGTTTGTCGAATGAGTGACTAACTGAATTCATAGGATTGTGTTATTCTCCATTCCTCACTCAAATCACACTTAGAGTACTTTTTTCTTGAACCTTCTGCTTGGACACAAATCCATCCCATAATAAAGCACAATCAACCTGTGAGGGAAAAGCAGAGACCTGAGGATAATATTTGAATGAAAAATATCTTTGGAGTCTTTTGGTCACCCGATGGGAACAGACTTGCAAGAATGTTGTTAAACAGTCTAATCATAAAGTAACCAAGCTCTTAGGCTTTCTGACGTCCCCACCCTCCTCTACTCTAAGAAACAACTAGTTTACAACACGATTTTCTCCATTTAGCTCCTGCATAGCCTTTCCATTCCCCTTTTCATTCATCCATTTCACAGATATTTATTGAGTGCTAATCAAATACTAGACACTGTTTTAGGATCTAGGGATATAATAATGAATGAAACAGACAATAATCTCTCAATGAACTTTTTATTCTAATGGCAGAAGATAATAGATAAGATAAGTAAGTAAAATATGTAATACTCCTGGTAGGTCCTAGGAGTAAAAATGAAGGAGGGAAGGAAGACAGAAAGTGTCAGGGGAATTAGAGCATTAGATATTAATAGAATAACCAAAGAGGTCCTTCCTGACATTTGAGTAAAAATCTGTAAGATGGAAAGGAGCAAGCCATGCAGATATTATCCTGGAGAAGAACATCCCGGGGTGAAGGAATCACAAGGGCAAAGATTCTGAGGTGGGAGTGTGGCTGGAATGTTCAGGAAACAGCCAAGAAGCCACCATGGCAAGATTAGGGTGAGCCAAGGAAAGCATGTGGGAGATGAAGTGGGAAAAGAAAATGTGGCTGCAGGAAGAAAGGAAGCCACAGAGCTGAGGATCCAGCTTTCAGAAGTGTCAAATGTGCAGATGTAGACATCCATGCGAGTTTTGACAGGAGGGCTGGCTACTGTGGCCATGTCTGAGGATCCAAAGTGTTTCAGAAGTAAGGAGAGGGATGCCGTAAGGGTCAAAAGATGACAGCAGCATTGAAGGAGGTGAGTGATTCATTCTGTAGACATCGGATTCAAATGTGAATGATTTTACAGCAGAGGGAGAAAAAGGGGTTTGCAAATGGCAATGAGGAGAGAGGATGATGTCTACCCCTCTTGGAGGTCCAGGGTTAGGAGGAGCATGAGAGAGAAAGAAGCAAGGAGTGAGCCTTGCAGGGGAGGCAGAGTCCTCAATGGAGAGCCAGGTTTCAGATAGAAAAGGAAGCAAATGGAAAGAAAGCCCAGAGAAGAGGCTGTGGATGTTGTGGATTTTTCTGATGACTGACTTTGAATAGCAGATGGCCCAGGAAAAGAATTTCAGGTTTGAAAGTGTGGGAGAGGGAGACAGCAAAGGCAATTCTCTTCTTACCCAGTTCCTTTAGGCACTCCCCTGGCTGCCGTTTTATTTTCATCTTTTCTAATCCATCCTTTTCTTTACATCCTTCTTTCATCTTTATCCATTTCTTTGGTTTCTCCTAACCTGCCCTGTCTTACTTTTCATTACTAGTAATTTTTATTTCTGTGCCTTATGTCTCTGAGCCTTCTTTCCATCTTATCTTTCAAACTTTCCTTTAGATGTGGGCCATCTTTTTTCTCAAGCTACCCTCTTTTGTTTTTTGTTCCAATGTTTAATCCTTCTTTCTAAGAATCATCCATGTGGTTGTTTGCTTTGAGGATGCTTTGAAAGCCTCTGAAATTACTCCAAGGAATAATGCTCTGAGTGTTGCTCTGCAGACTCACACCTTTGGTGCACAGCAATGTCCCTTTCCTCACCTGGACTTTGACAGGTTCCATCCAGTGCTCCAGAGTGTCAGCAGTGATGTTCTCAGGCAGCGTCACGGGATCACTGGGGGGGATTACACACAATGCGGAACACACTGCGCCTGAAAGAACAGAAGATTTCAACAACTTGAACTTCCAGATATCATTCTTTTTCTTTCAGGAATCAGTACCTTTGAGTTTTTAAAGAACAATTGCTTTCATTATGGGTCACCATATTTTGATGTTGTAGGCAGGACTAATATTCATCTACTGTGTTCATGTAGGCATACTTTCATACTAATTGGTAAAAAGACTCTGCCCCAACCTAACTCCACGTGCCCCAAGTGTAGTCTTTTCTGTCTTGTTCAGGATAATCCCTCCTCTGGAATGCCTGAATTTCTGCAGGGTCTAGTAATTGAAAGAGGAACTCCTGGCCCAGCTGGCTTCCAAGACCCCCTCAAGGACTCTAGCTAGACAAAGTCTATCCTGATTGGCTCATGACTTTTAAGTATATGTAACATCATTCCTGTTTACATGGTCTCCTGGAAACTTATATTTTTAAGAACTACTACCTAAGAACTTGACATGGTGGTGGTGGTGGTGGTGGTGGATGGGGGAAAGTGGCCCGGAAATTATAAAATTACTCCAGAGACTATTCTATCTGTTGCTGCACTGAAGATCATTGCACTGACAGCCAATAAACCTATTTGATTAAAGGAGGAAGCAATGAAGAATCAGAAGCAGGGACTTTGGCCATGTGCTGATCTCTTGCAGAAAAATCTTGTTTTATTCCCTTGCACACAGGGTTCAAATGTCTCCTAAAATTATATTAAGAGAAAACACACTCTTTAGGTTCTCTACTTCCTCATCTATAGATTTGATGATTTCCAAGTTTCTTTTTAGTTCTATCTATGTGTAAGAACAAAAATAATATTTTTATTTTAAAATAATCAAAAGAACTACATCCCTCTTAAGAATTCTAGATATGTGAGTATATGATATTTTAATGCAGAAATTAGAGGCTTGGAGAACAAGAATCTGCTTGTGAAAAAAGATGTGCCAACACTTTGGGAGGCTGAGGTGGGTGGATCACCTGAAGTCAAGAGTTCAAGACCAGCCTGGCCAACATGGTGAAATTCCATTTCTACTAAAAACAAAATATCAGCCAGGTATGGTGGTGGGCACCTATAATCTCAGCTACTTGGGAGGCTGAGGCAGGAGAATTGCTTGAACCCAGGAAGTGGAGGTTGTAGTGAGCTGAGATTGTGCCACTGCATACCAACCTGGGTGACAGAACAAGAGTCTGTCTCAAAAAAAAATATATATATATATATGTGTGTGTGTGTGTGTGTGTGTGTGTGTGTGCCACTCGAGAGGCACATCTGAATTCCCTGATACTCTATGCCTGACCACAAGACATCACTGTGCAAAGAGCACCTTGAAAATGGTAATGGGCTTCCTAATTAATGCAAATTATACTCATTGGCATTGGCTAGACTATCTGATAAAATTACTCCTTGCTAATACAGTTCAGAATTTAGGTGTAATCTTACAAGGTTTCGCATCAGCTACAACTCTTTCCTATGATGTTTAGGGCCAGCCAAGGCAAAGTTAACATCACTATAAATCATCTCTGGCCACAAAGACCTTTGATTGTAATTGCTTGAATAAGAAGTTGTCCATGGCGCTGGAGCCTAGTCCCCAGCAGAGAAAGAATGGCTGAAGAATGATGCATGAAAGAGGAATCTCAGTTCATCCCTTTCAGTAATTCTCCACTCCAGTAACAACCTCAGAGAATGGAGGAGACTGGCAGACACATGCTATGTGGTTACACAGTCCCACCTTTCATCCTGGAACTACAAACCATACCACAAATCCATCTGGTCTAGGCCCCGCAAAATTCTCATAAATCTCATTTTTACTGAAGCAGCTAAGAGTCAACTTGCATTTCTATCTACTCAGAACAGTGTATCTGATTCAAGATTCTGCTGGGTTGGCTGAGCGCTGTGGCTCATGCCTCTAATTCCAACACTTTGGGAGGCCAAGATGGATCACCTGAGGTCAGGAGTTCAAGACCAGCTTGGTCAACATGGTGAAACCCCATTTCTAGTAAAAACACAAAAATTAGCCAGGTGTTATGGTGGGCCCCTGTAATCCCAGCTACTCAGGAGGCTGAGAATTTCTTGAACCCGGGAAATGGAGGTTGCAGTGAACTAAGATTGTGCCACTGCATACCAGTCTGAGTGACAGAACAAGAGTCCATCTCAAAAAAAGAAAAAAAATTCAATTGGGCTTAATAAAAGGATAACATGGAAGCAGACTTTACGATTCACTCATATCCTTACCAATCCCGTATCCTTGTTCACATTTGTACTCTACGGAATTCAGCTCTGATGGAGGTGGTGGGCATTCTCCTTGCAGATTCTCACACAACTTAAACTCCTGGGTCCACAGTCCCTCTTTAGTGCAGAGGATAAGAAGCTACAATATCAAAAGTAAACACCTTCATTATTGTTTTGTTAAGTTTATTGAGAGCTGAAAAAAGTGGTGTGATTAAGTCATAATATTCTCCAGTTCTAGCACCTGGACCAGAAGACACTATTCAAACAACATGTTGTTACTGGCCAAAAAAAAAAAAAAAAAAAAAAAAAGCCAAAAAATTATTTGCTTTTTTCAGGTAGAAGAATGATGATGACAAGTTTTTTCCATTAATGAAATGTATTAACAATGTATTTTTGTTTATATATAGAATATAATGAGCTATCAACCAAAGCTCATGGATTCAGAGCTATTTTTGGAATTGTTTCCCAGATGGTGGTGTTTTGCACTGATTCATTTCTACTATCATACAAATGCTGCTTGTGGCAAATGTCAAATTTTTTCAAGATGAGTTTCATTTAGTGGAAACCAATTCATAATGATTCCTAAAGGTGTGCTTTTGCCTTTCTGCTTGAAGGGAAACATCATAGCTGCTTTTGGTCTCACCAAAATTCTATTCCCTTTCTCCACATGTGTGCTGATTTGTGTAACTCTTGGTTCACAAATTATACTCTAGAACATAGAGAGTAGCACTAACTCTCAAAATTCAAAAAATTAAGATTTTTGAAATGTAGATAGCCCTTCCTTCCTATGGTCATCTCACTGATGGGTTCCTAACCCATCAGTGCAAACAGATGTGCTTGATTTCTCATGGGTCTCTTTTTGGGCCATATTCTTTTCACATCTGTTCAGTGGTGCTTACCTTGGAGTACTGGAAACTAAGAGAACAGGTGCAAAAGGAGCAGTCAAGGCCCTTGATTTTTGCCTGGGAAGTCTACCTGACTTTCTATCTCATGTATGTGTGCAGTGCTTGAAAAGATTCCAAATGGAACCAACCCAAATGCCCATCAATGATAGACTGGTCTGGGAAAATGTGGTACATATACACCATGGAACATTGTGCAGAAGTCAAAAATGATGAGTTCGTGTCCTTTGTAGGGACATGGATGAATCTGGAGAACATCATTCTCAGCAAACTGACACAAGAACAGAAAATGAAACACCGCATATTCTCACTCATAGGCAGGTGATGAACAATGAGAACACATGGACACAGGGAAAGGAGCACTACACACTGGGGTCTGTTGGGAGGAATAGGGGAGGGACAGTGGGTGGGGGGAGCTGGGGAGGGATAGCCTGGGGAGAAATGCCAAATGTGGGTGAAGGGGAGGAAAGCAGCAAAACACACTGCCATGTGTGTACCTATGCAACTATCTTTCATGTTCTGCACATGTTCCCCAAAACCTAAAATGCAATAAAAAATAAAAAAAATTAAAAAAGAAAAGATTCTAAAATAAAATTGCCTTTAGTCACACAACCAAGATAAGACTGTGTTTTTCATTTGAGACCTTTTGTGGCAAAATCCTAGGGAAAATAATTGTCAAACAGCACTTCCAGCTTTGCTGAGGAATTTGTGTTTCTGTTCAGGACTCTGTTCTAGAAAAAAAATAGTACTAGGTTTTCTAGTCAACTTATATCAGTGGCCATCCATGAGAGGAGATCATATTGCTAAATCAGGATCCCAGCATTCTTTTCAGAATCTACCTGGTACCCTTCCCATTGGATTCTTCTTTTTGTCTCAGAAGAAGTTGTGAACTCAGGAGAGAATATTCCAAAAATGTGGTATTTTCTGCATTTTCTATTGCATAATACCAACACTCCTGATCACAATCCCAAGTCCCTGCCTGTTGGAATTCCTTAGAAATTTTATTTCTTCTCAAACTTCTTGGATTGGCCCTGAAGATTAGAGCACAGCCTGATCCAAAATGAGTTCAAGAAGTCTTCCTTACCTTTTCACTTTCCTTGTTACAGTTGAGCACACACTGGCTGTCCAGGTTGAAGCCATTGGTACATTCATACATGCCTTCAAACACAGGAGGGGGTGGCTCACACACCACAGGAATGCAGCTGCCTTGCTCCCAGATACCACCTTCCAGGCATTGTATCTTCAGGAACTTGCTGATAAAATATAAAATAAAATAGCTCATCAGAATCTCTCAAGAAGTCATGAAAGAAGACTTGATCCTCAGCAACATGGGATAAGAATTAGCAAATACGCAGGGACAGATGGTTCCTGTGAGCCAAATGTCCCACTGATCCAGGCTAATTCGTAAGTCATGGAACTAAAAATAGTAATGTTCATTTATTACTCGAAGTAGTGGTAGATGTTGTATAAAAATATTTGATCTATTACTTTTAAGAGGGTTTGATAAATACTGTAGCATCTAAATTGCAGTTTGGTTTTCTCTGAGACTTTCATCTTGGAAAATATTCACATCTAAGTACAATGAAATGTCAGGTAGGATGGGGTACAGAAAAGGTTATCACACACTCAGAAGACTGATCAGAAGTGATGTGAGGATCATCAATGTTGATATGGCAATATAACTGAGGAAGTTGCTACTATTTATTGGTTCTTCAGAGAGAGGAGAAAGTACAGCAATATGAGTCTTCTTTTAAAATAGAAACTCTGAACCTAACTTTCAGAAGGATAATAACTTCCGAGATGACTGCTTCATTTGTTTAGAAGTTAAAGGTATGAAAGGTATAGCTTTCACCAGTTTCTCAAGTAGACATGACTCAATACGGGCCTGGAAGAATTGATCCTCCTTCTCAAGCACAGACATGGACACCAACCAGAGAGACAGCATTTCATGTCAACTGGAGTCAATGGAATTAGGGTCCTTGCTACTGAAAATTCCATTCCATTCTCCTTTTGACTCACTGCAGTTTGAAAGTGCTTTCCATGTTGCTGTTTTAACATGTCCACTTCTAATGCAAAACACTCCTGGTTACAGATAAGTTTGTAATTCTAAAATATGAATAACCCTTGGACCATTGACTCTTTCAACCATATGGTACCTTTAAATTACCATTTTCTAGTCTAATTATGCCCCTTTGAAGGTTAAATATGCCCACCAACTTGTGCTTGTTGTCTTCTGATGTGCAGTTCCTCTTGTGGGCTTCCACAGCACTCTAACCTTACACTAGTGAAACATTTATCACACTGTTTTATAAATGCACATGTGACTGTCTTTCCCATCAGACCGGAAACTTCCAGAAGCCAGAGGCTATGTGGTAGTCTTGTTTTTAATTCTAACCTTACACTAGTGAAACATTTATCACACTGTTTTATAAATGTACATATGACTGTCTTTCCAATCAGACTGGAAGCTTCCAGAAGCCAGAGGATATGTGATAGTCTTGTTTTTAATTCATTCTCAGCAAACTGACACAAGAACAGAAAATCAAACACCACATGTTCTCACTCATAGGCGGGCGTTGAACAATGGTAACACATGGATACAGGGAGGGGAGCATCACACACTGAGGTCTGTGGGGGTGAAATAGGGGAGGGACAGCAGGAGGTGGGGAGTTGGGGAGGGATAACATGGAGAGAAATGCCAGATATAGGTGTTGGGGAGGAAGGCAGCAAACCACACTGCCATGTGTGTACCTATGCAACAATTTTACATGTACCCCAAAGCCAAAAATGCAATTAGAAAAAAAAGAGAACTAAAATAATATCTGGTTTATATTCAGCATTAAATAAATATCTTCTGAATGGAATCATTGAATTGAAGCTAACACCATGTCAGGTACATTGCAAGGCACATTTGATAAGTACCAAGTTGAATCATTATAATACTAATAAAATCATGTTTTTATTTCCATTTTATAGAAACACACTGAAGTATGTTAAGCAATTTGTCCAAGAAATTACATCACAGAATTCATTTAACTTCAAATAATTTTAATAATAAAAATATTTTAACAGTTTAACATATATGAATACTATATATTTAGAAATAAGTGGAGTGTTTTATTATTAAATAATTATTTAGATTCATATCTTTACTCCTAAGACACTTTGCAATAGAAATCTGATTTTTGACTGGGCACGGTGGCTCACTCCTCCAATCCCAGCACTTTGGGAGGCTGAGGCAGACAGATCATTTGAGGTCAGGAATTTGAAACCAGCTTGGGCAACATGGCAAAACTCTCATATCTACAAAAAATGTAAAAATTTGCCAGATACGGTGGCATGCACCTGTAGTGCTAGCTACTGGGTAGGCTGAGGTGGGAGGATGGCTGGCTTGAGCCTGGGAAGTCGAGGTTGAAGTGAGCCATGATCATACCACTGCACTTTGGCCTGGGTAACAGAATGAGATCATGTCTCAATAAAACAAATCTGATTTTTTGAACTGGAATTTTTTAGCATCATAGTCTGTGTGGACATGTATCTTCTAGCTATTAAAATAAATACCATTTTTGAGCTATATTTCAAGTGTTTGAAATATATATTTCAATAATACACCTATGTATATTATGTTTTATTTACATATATTTTTATTTATTTTTACTATTTTTATTTTTTATTTTTTTTTAGAGATGGAATTTCACCAGGTTGGCCTGGCTGATCTTGAACTCCTGACTTCAGGTGATCCCCATGCCTTGGCCTCCCAAAGTGCTGGGATATCAAGCATGAGCCACCACGCCTGGCTGTGAATACAGCTGGGTAACCACCAGGCAGATCAAGATGCAGAATATGTCGATCCCCTAAGAATTCCCCCCTTGCATTCCTTCCCAGTTAAAATTCTCCCACCCTCACGGCACACAGTATTTTGCAACACCACACTCTTCTGACTTTCATCAGCATAGAGGAGTTTTGCCTGGTTTTGAACTTTATATAAATGAAATGTACTGCTTAGTAAATTGCTTCTTTCCCTCCAGAAAGATGACATTTAAAAATGCCTTTCCAAATCTATTTTCAATGAAGGGCTTGCAGCTCTTTTTTACTCTAACAAGATTCCTTTTTGTCCCTCTCCTAGAATGGATATTTTACTCCTCCTTCACACTGCAGAGTTTATATCCTCCCAGGGACTCTCTTCTTTCTACCACCTCCCACAGATGAAATCCTTCCCCTACCTCTGCTGAACCGACACCCCCCAGCAGGAGAAAACAGGCAATACCACTGACAGCAGGGGAGAGGCACGACTGCAAAAACCTTGCATGTCAGCATGGTTATAAAGGAAAACCCTTGCTTGGTCAGGAAGATCATATTTTGACTTCATGTGGTATTTTTCTCTGAATTGGTTGGAATACTTCAACCATGGAAATAGTCTTCCCTTTCCTTGCCCAGAGTTAAAGAGCCTTCAAGAACGCCAATTTCATATATTTCCTTGCCAGTTTAATAACCTCAGGGGTGAGAGCAGACAGATCAAACTTGGATGGGGAAGAAGAATGTAGCCTTCCATTGTGGTACCCAGACAATGTGTCGGGCCCTGTGCTACAAACCACCAGCAACACAGGGAGGGGGATGGCTAGAAGGTAGCAAGAGGACAGAGCAGTTATACTTGACCCTGACAGAGAGGAGGCATGGTAGGCAGGAGCTGAGAGAGGGTGGCAGAGAGAGAGTACCGATTCCCTAGGAGGTTCTGTTTTCTTTCTGCAGGGCTTCCTTTGCCCCTCTCAGCTTTAAGGATTCTCTTTCCCCACGGTTTCTTCTCCCTTCTATAGAAGACGGCTTTGCACTATCATCTCTCCATGGACCTCCCAGGGCTTCTGCATCTCTCTACATCAGACAACCAACAGTCTGTAAGCCCCACCCTCAGCCTTCTAGCAAAGCACTTGCTAGGTTAAGTTCCTTGGGGCCCAATCGTGAGGGCTGTCTCATTCTGCCTTATGTTCATGTCATGGATCCCAGCTATAGTACAAGTCTTGAGATTTCATGGTATGGAACTTGGCACTTCAGTGCTATGAGCTGGTTCTGGCCATTTTGTTCAAAAGAGACAGTGATTGTGCCAGGAATTTAGAGTGTTCTGGATTCTTCCCAGTTCCAGGAAATTTGGTTTCCCTATAGGTCCCTTGAAGGAGACAGAAGTCTAAATCTTGCCAGCCATCCTGCTCATGTTTTTGTTACCTAGTGCTATGGACTAAATGCTTGTGGACCTCACAAACTCATATGGTGAAATCCTAATGCCCAGTGCGATGGTGTTTCGGGGATGGGGTGTTTGGAAGGTAATTAAGTCACAAAGGTGGAGCCCTCCCGGTTCCCTCGTGAGAAGACATGTGAGGGCTTGCCCTCTGTGTGCTCTACCATGTGAGGACACAGCAAAAAGACAATCATCTGCAAACCAGGAAGGTACCCTCACCAGATAAGGGATCTGCCAGCACCTTGGCCTTCTCAAGCTCCAGACCTGTGAGAAATAAATGTGTGTTGTTAAAGCCACCCATCTATGGTGTCCTGTTACTGACTGAGACACGGCAGTGGATGGACTGATCGCTAGTGCCTCTGCATTTCTTCTGGTTTGGTGATGTTGAGGAGTGCCCTTTGACATCCTTAAAATCATTAATGTAAAAACTGGTTTATTGACAATGATCCTTTTTGTACGGCTTATGCATCAGGAGCCAAATGACTCCTTGAAGACATGAAGTGAACAGATTGCATTTCAAAGAATGATGGCATTGGATACTAGACAAACAGACAGATCCTAACTAGGACAGAGATTCCGAGACACCTTTGATAGCCCATGCCATGTGCCTTCCACGTGAAACATTATACCGGCTGTCTATCAGCTAAAACATCTTATTTGTAGGCAGGAAATCACATTAGTAACCACGAAGTGATTTACCCAGTGTCACACAGAAATTCATAGATTTCAAAGTTTTCATATTATAATATAACATTCTGATCATGACATCAATGATTTCCAAATTACATATGTAGACCAATCCCATCGGAATTATGTAGAAGCCACTTAAAAAATCTAGATTGCTAGGCTTACTGAATTAAACCTCCTGAGACTGGCCCAGGACTCTGTGTCTTTAAACTTGCCAGAAGGCTTTATGTGCAGCCAGGTTGGCAAACTACTAAGATCCTTGCTACCTTCACATGCTGGTAAGGTGTAGAAACCAGAGAGCAAAGATCATCCACCTCAAGCCTTATGACTGTCCCA